GGGTAGGAACCGGAGGATTTGGGAGAAATCAGGACCGGGTATGGTGTAGCCGAGCCCATCCCTGTTACAGAGAAGGGAGCTGGGGGTCCCTCTCCCAGCACTGCATGGCCAGCATGTGCTTCCTGTTCTACCCCCGGCCAATGGCTCCTGGTCACTGGGTCTGGGTCGAGACCCTCCTTCCCAATGCAAAAGACCCCCCAGCTGGAGAACTGAAAGAAATTGGCCAGGATCTAACAGAAGTCAGGCAACGAAAATAATAGTCTAGAATGCTGGCTATGAGTATGGGCTGGGCACTGGACTGCCTGAGTTTGAATCCCAGGTTCGCTCACTGACTGTTGGTTTGGGGACCTTACACAAATTGCTTTACCTGTGTCGTCCTGGTTCCTCATCTGTAAAATGGGAAGAGCGACAGTGGACAATCCCATGAGGTTGAGTATTAAATGAGCTAATAGGTATCATGCATTTGGCACAGAGCTGGGCCCTTGTAAGCACTTAGTCTGTGCTGGATGTTCTCACCACCGATAGGACTCTCCCCAGGAGGCCGGAGAGTGTAGTGGTTAAGGTAAACGTAGATATTATTTCATTTATCATGATCCTGGGATAAGAAAAGAAAGGGACAAGCTTTAGGCACTTCTCTTCCATCCTCCGCATGGCTCTTTCTGTTCTCACCACTCCGTTGAGGAAGAAAGCTCTGAGGTTTCTGCTTGGCCAGGGTGGAAAAATTAGTCAAAGACAACAGAACCACATCCAGACCTCTAAGACTCTTAGAGGGAATAATCCTAGCAATGTGGCATCATTGGATTTTGCCCTCTCTCCCTGACTAATCTTGCAAAACTCCCCAACTTTTAAAAATGTTTATTTATTTTGAGGGCAGGAGAGAGAGGGAGACAGGATCCATAGCAGGCTCTGCACTGAGAGCAGAGAGCCCCATGCAGGGCTCAGACTCACCAACCGTGAGATCATGACCTGAGCCAGTCAGATGCTTAACCACTGAGCCACCCAGGTGCCCCCGAAACTCCCCAATTTTAACTCACTCTTTCTTCTTTGGTAGGTAACTTCTCCCTGAACCTCAGGTCTCTCAGCTGGAAAATTATAGGTGTTTGTGTCAGTCAGAATAAATATCGCTAACTGCTGTAACAAACACCCCCTCAGCTCGGACATTCACACAAATGTTTGTTTATTGCTCGCAGCACAGTTCACCCTGGGTCAGCGCAGTCATTCAGGGAGCTGGGCTCCTGTTACCTCTCAAATCAGTCTCCCCTAGGGCCTGAGTCCACTCCTAGTTTCCCCAGTGGCCGGCCATGAGGAAAGAGAGGATAAACAAAGTACACTGTTCCAACACACCTCAGCCCACATTTGACAGACCTCGCTTCCATTCACATTCCATCGGCAAGAAGTAGCCAAGGGCCTCACCCTAGCTTGATACAAGAGTGTGGGCAGCACAGTCCAGCCACGTGCCAAGAGAGAAGACGCCCCGGACCCCGGTGCCACGGGGGTGGGCCAGATTCTGTGACCCTCACCGGCCACACCAGAGAGCAGAAGTCAGGACTCCGGGGCTCTTCCCTGCCTCTAGCCTGGGCCCTCCCTCCCTGTGCACTGTGCTTCCTCCCTCCCACCCAGGAAGAGAACCAGCCCCTGCCAACCCGCCTCCGAGGGTGGGTGGTTGGTGAGATAATGATCTTATCATACTTATTGCCTCTTGGAAGGCAGGTGCTGGAGAAAAACCAAGTCCGCTTTGGTTTTTCTCCCTGTTCCTTCACATTCCTTCCCAAGATAAATTTAGCCAGCCCTCGCTCTGAACGCAGTGGCCAGGATGCTGACTTTTTGTTCTCCCAGTCAATGTGTGTGAGAGCGGGTTTTTTTTTTTTTTTTTCATGGCTGTAGCCTCAGGCTGGGAATGCAGACTTCAGGGACACAGTCCCGGCCACTGCCCTGCCCCAAACACCTGTGACCACTGCCTCCCTCCAACCCCGGCCAGGTCCCTGTGGACATCAGGTGCCTGAGTCTCCAGGGATGTGAGCAGAACATGGAATACAGACGGGCTCTGAGACCTGTCCTTACTGGCCACCTAGAGCTCAGAGTCAGCACATTCAGGATTCAGGGCAGAGATGGGAATCCCGGTTCAGGCAGGCCACCTTCTCCTCTGTCTCCCCATCTAGAAAATGGGTCCACATGCCTCCTTCATCAGATTAACTGCATGAGGTACTTGTACTAAGAGATCTGTATATTTTCTTAGAGGGGGATGGTCTACGCTTTTTCTCAGGCCAAACTGAAAGCCACAGTGAGGACTTCCTGGAGCCTTCTATCCATTCCAGATGCTTCTTTTCTGAACTTCTTTATAATCTGAGAGGCCTCCTTGGGGAACTCTATTCTTGGACCTCCTCATGATCGTAAGAGTGACTTCCTTTCTGGGGTCTATTCCTGCATCCTCCCTGCTGGTGTGGCCTGAACCACTCCATTCTGCCTGGTCTGTGACGCTGTCTGCCATCACCCAGACCATATCTTACCATATCTTTAAAGTGGGTCCAGCCCCTCCAAGACCTTGCTCTCACCCTATCCACCAAGACTTTGTTTCTGAGAGTTAGGTCTTTGGGCTCCTTTCAGCCTCCTTCCTGGGGCCACTCCCCTTTCTCCTCTGGGTCTCCGTCTCTAGAAGATCATCCTGCCCCTGACCCCTGTTGGCTGCAAAGTCCACAGGACACAGCTTCCCAGGTCAAGTTCCCCAGGGAAGCTTCCCCTCACTGACTGGCTTTCAGCCTTGCTCTTCAGCCTGGGGCAACAGGTACACCATGTGGGGACACACACACACACACACACACTCACACGCACGCACACACGTGCATGCACACACGGCACTGGCTATGCCCAGACACAGGTAGACATGGGAAATGTGGGGCCCAGACTCCTTCCTGTCCCAGTTCACCTCTTCTTCCTCTGATGGCCTGTGGATGCCTCCCACAACTGCACCCACCTGGAACCAGAGGGTAGGGAGCTTGGAGGAGGCAGACCAGGCCCCCAGGCCCTGCAGAGAAAGGCTGAGAACAACAGCAGAGGGTCCAACCCAGAGATCGTGACAAGCGTCACGACAGTGACAGATCTGCAAGGGGGACAGGAGCACCCCTCTTCTCATAGACATGGAAAGTGACACCCTGAGCGCTGGGTCACATAAAAGGCCACACTGCCAGCACGAGGTGGAGCCAGGGTGTGGACCCGTTTCTGCCTACCTCCGAATCCCCCACAGCCGGAGCAGACAATGGCTGACATTTTACACATTTAGATGACTCTTCCTCAAAATTATCTTGTTCCCAAGCCTGTGAAGTCTCAGCACTGGGCTGAGCATTTTACTCTCCAGCCGGTACAAATTCAAATACAAATAACTGTGGGAGGGGCAGCACGGCTTTCGGGAACCCTTTTGAGGAAGGAGTTTCTCAGACTCTGACTCTGCAGGGAGAGGCCTGGGAATCTGTGGGGATCAGAAACACTGAAGGGGAGGGACGCCTGGGTGGCTCAGCCGGCTGGGCATCCCACTTCAGCTCAGGTCATGATCTCATGGTGTGTGGATTCAAGCCCTGCGTCGGGCTCTGTGCTGACAACTCAGAGCCTGGAGCCTGTTTCGGATTCTGTGTCTCCCTCCCTCTTTGCCCCTTCCTTGGTCATGCTCAGTCTTTCTCTCTCAAAAATAAAATAAAGATATTAAAACAAAAGAGAGAGAGGAAGGAAGGAAGGAGAGGATAGGAGAGAAGAGAAAAAGGAGAAAGAAAATACTGAAGGGGACCCAGCGGGCACCAAATAACACCCATGTCAAACCCACACACATATGGGGCTTTCTGAGCCCCTTCACTCCATCATCTCACTCAGCCCTCACCTTGTTCCTGGGATACTGGCTCCAGTATCCAGGAGCCCATTTTACTGCTGTGGGTTAAGAGATTACACTGTGCTGACACTAGGGTTTTGCCTACAATGGGCAGATGGGGGATCCACTGGCTTTAAACAAATGTAGTTCACGTGCTTACTGACTGTGAAGCCACAGCCACTCCCTTTACCTCCCCAGGCGTCTTCACAGTGAGGAGCCTGGGGTGGGGGGCCCCATTCTGAAGGTGATCATTCTTAGCGAGGTTCCTGGCACCCAGCAGCCCCATGCAGAGAGGGTGTAGAGGATACAGTCTTGAACTTGGGCAAATCTAGCATTGAGTCTCAGCCAACTAGGTGAGGCAGGACAAGTCACTTCACCCCCCTCAGAGCCTCGCTTGGAAAACAGAGCAGTCACGTCCCTACCCAGCAGGTCCGTGATGCGGGTAGAAGGAGACAAGGCGTCTGAAAGTGCTTCTTAAAACCACTCTATAAATGCAGATGTATTTCTTCTGCATGAACAATAACAACAGCCAACATCTCCTACGTGCTTACTGTGCTTACTGTGTTCCAGGCACTGTTCTAGACCCCTGGTGTGTGCGGTTCCATTCAGGTCTCACAGCACCCCTGTGACACAGTACTTCTGTATTATTCCCAATAATAAATGAGGAACTCGAGTCTCAGAGAGGTTAAGTAACTGGCCTCAGGTTGCCCAGCTGGTAAGTGGCAGAGCCAGGCGTTTAACCCAAGGAAACTGAGAAGCCTATCAGGAGGGGAACATCAGCAGCGAGCTGGGCCCTGAGATACCCAAAGAAATAAAACTGAAGGCGCTTCGAGTTCAGCACGGCTCAGACATTCATACACATCAGAATCATCTACGGATATTATTTAAAAAGGCTGAGCCCTGGGTCCCACCCACAGAGAGGCTGATTCCACAGGTTCGGGGGAGGGCTGGGAATCTGTCTTGGTAACAAGCCCCCAAGATGCTGTCTGTGCAGAGGGCCAGCTAACCTCACAGGGAGGATGGTGGCAGGTGTCCAGCCAACCGTTGGTAAAAGTTGCTCAGGAAGTGAGGATTCTAGGCTCTAGGGGACCCTGAGGGTTCAGGTAGGAACCCACCGTGCAACCCACCTTCCGCCTCTGGCCTCTAGGTTTGCCAAGTACTATAAGCTGGAGAACGGCAGTGAGTACCGCACACTCCTGAAGGCTTTTGGCATCCGCTTTGACGTGCTGGTGTACGGGAATGTGAGTCCTCGGGCTGGGCGGGTGGTTGGGAGGCACAGGGGAGGACACCCAGACCAGGTAGGGGCGGGGGGGGGGGGGAAGGTCCTGCCACTGACTAGCTCTGAGTGGTGAGTTTAGCCCCTCCAGGCTCAGACAGGAGGCCAGCCAAGGTGGGGCTCCAGCTGGAGGTGGCTGGGGGTGGGGGGTGGGAGGCGCCAGGCTTCTACCTAGAATATAAAGCCTGACCTCTTCCCAGATGCTTCAGTCTCCCCCACCCCATCCCGGCTGGGTCAGTCCTGAGTGAATANAAGGTCCTGCCACTGACTAGCTCTGAGAGCCTCAGCTAGTCACACCGCTAGCCTCTTCACCTATGCCGTGGTCCAGCTCCGCCAAGAACCCTCCACCCCATGGGCTCTCTGGCTGGGAGTCCCCGTTCCGTGTCTCAGGCCTCAGCACCTCATGCCTGACCCTCTCCACCCGCTCTCCTTGATCTTTGTGCCTGCAGGCCGGCAAGTTCAACATCATCCCCACCATCATCAGCTCCGTGGCAGCCTTCACCTCTGTGGGAGTGGTGAGTTTAGCCCCTCCAGGCTCAGACAGGAGGCCAGCCAAGGTGGGGCTCCAGCTGGAGGTGGCTGGGGGTGGGGGGTGGGGGGCGCCAGGCTTCTACCTAGAATATAAAGCCTGACCTCTTCCCAGATGCTTCAGTCTCCCCCACCCCATCCCGGCTGGGTCAGTCCTGAGTGAATACCTCCAGTCACAGAGAGCTCACTACCTCCCCATTTGCAGGAGGTACAGACCTGTACGGAGTTCCTGCTCTGTGAAGGAGAGGGAGGAGGCTCCAGGGGCCCACAGACCTAGGGAACAGAGTCCTGCTCCCAGGGACTCCTTACCCCCTCATTCTCTGCTTCTCCCATCAAGTCCTCTCCCCGCGTTTTGCTCTGGGGTCCCTGCCGGGAGCCAGAGACAAGAGTGATGAAGACATTCCGCCAAGCCCCCCAACATTTGTCCCAGTGGGAACATCAGTCAGGTATCTTTGGAGACTGCCCCGGCCCCCAGCCCCCCAGCCTGCTGCCCCCCTGAGGGCAGTCCTTCCCACTGCCACTTCCCGCTACCAGGCCCCTCCCATCTCCTCCCATCGGAGCACTGAGTCTGCCCTGCCTCTTCCTCCAGGGGACTGTCCTCTGTGACATCATCCTGCTGAACTTCCTCAAGGGGGCCGACCAGTACAAAGCCAAGAAGTTTGAGGAGGTGCGCTGGCGGGGGGAGGGGTGCAGGTGCATGAGAGGTGAAAGGACTGGGCAGGGAGTGGCGCTAGGCCCCGGGGACTCTCGGTCGCTCCCCCTTTTGGGGACTTCTTAAGCGGAGCTCATTGTGCCTCAATGCAAACTGGGGGACCAGAAGAGGGATTTGGCCAAGAATGGGCTCTGTGGAGACCCTTGGGGGTTCCGTGGGTCATCACTGTCGACACCCATCTGCACATTGCCCCCTCTCCGCTTCTGGTTAGCTCAGGTTTCTGTCTGCACTTGGGGTGCGTGGAAAGACTCGGGGTCACACAGACTTGCTCGAGCTCCTTGACAAGGAGGCCGTGCACCCCACCTGCTGTGTCTGCCAAGTGGGGTCCCCAGGAGGACCTTCCCCGTAGTTAGAGCACGATAATGCCACCCTGCAGGTGGACGAGATGACGCTGAAGGGCACCGCTTCGGCCAACACAGTGTACCCCAGCGACCAGACCACTGAGGAGAAGCAGTCCACAGACTCGGGGGCCTACTCCATCGGCCACTAGGGCCTCTTCCCAGGGCCCCTGTGCGCACCCTTGGGCTCCAGGCCTCCCAACAGAGACCACCTAGGCAAGGATGGGAGGGATGGGGGAGGGGCCTTCATTGCTGCTGCTCACCCCATGAAGCCACGCTGGACCCAGGTGTCTGGGCCTCCTCCCAGTGCTCTGGCAGACAGGTAGTGCTCCCTGCTAGGACCTCACTCTCCACTTCACCCCTTGCCTCGCCCCTGTCTGCTTTCCTGGACCCCTGAGGGCAGTAGCACCGGAGCTGTCCCCCTTCCCAAGAGTAGAGAGAATAATAGTAATAACGAGTGGCCATAAGTCACTACTAAGTGCCAGCCAGGGTCACACACATTATCTCATTTAACCCATAGAATAATCCTATGATCCTATGACGTAGATATTAGTTTCCCTGGTTTGAGGATAGACTGAGGCTCAGAAAGATTGAGTCATTTGCCCAAGGCCACACAGCCAAGAAGCATGAGAGCTGGGATTTAAACCCAGATCTAAACCCATCACCCACACCCCATAAGAAAAGTGAGAACTCCCCAGCACATCTGCCCCTGCTGCTTCAGCCCTTCCCACAGTGATCAAGGTCAGGTTCAGCTTAATAAAGAGGAAGCCCCATGCTTTCACCAGGAACTCAGGACCCATCTTAGGGGAGATCAATTAGACAGTGACGCAGGAGTCTCTTTCTCTGACTTGAGTGGATCCCCAGTTCAGAGGGAAACGGGAAGCATGACTGTCAGTCAGGTTTTCCCTTGCTCTGTCCCCAACCAGGAGAGGGCTGTTCTGTTCTCTCTTTGGGACCCCCACATACCCACACACATCGGGCCCCCTCACTCCAGGAGTAGAACTAGGCCCCCCTAGACTGGGGCATGATTCCCAGACCCCGGGGCCCTTTTCTAGCTGGGCAGTGCTCCTTTACACCACTGGCGAACAGGCTGCAGTGAGGCCAGTGCCCTGTGAGCTGCAGGCTCCCCGCCTGCAGGCCCACCCAGCCCCCCGAATGGCCCTAATCAGTGCTCAGTCTCCTAGTGCTAGAAAACCTCTTGTCCTGCTCTCCTGGTTACAGATAAGCAAACTGAGGCCAGAGAGGGGAAATGACTTGTGTCAGTTCAAGTGGTCAAGAGAGAACCAGGCTGACCTGGCGCTGAGGGAGGGAAGCAAGACAAGGAGTCAGGGGGACTTCTGGGGGAGCATCTGGTCCCCCCACACCTCCATCCGCCTGACACCCCCTCCCCACTCTGGGCTGGCCTCCAGTGAGAGGCCCAGGAATCTCCCCAGGGCAGAGTTCCAGAGCAGATTTAGGTCTTAAGGAAGCCTGAAGAATATGCAATGGGGGGTATCTTTTTAAAATACCATATTAGGTCATGGAAGGGGAGGCCCTGAAGTATCCATTTCATTAGCTCCCAGTAAAACCACCTCTGGAAAAGCTGGAGCGTAAGCATGACTGTGTGGTCTCAGTTGCAGCGAGCTGGCCTGGAGACGGAGGGCTCGCCCCTCGACAGAAGGTGCAGGGAGTCGGGGAGGGGGCGGCTTTGGGAGTCACCAGGGAGGGACCAGTGTGGGGGAGCAGTGGGCACTTGCAAAGGCCTGGCTGACTCCAGTGATTTCCCCCTGCCTCCCTCACCCCCAGGGGAGAACGAGTTAGATTCCCTCGCTCAAAACCAACACCACCCCCCACCTCGTCCTCAGGCTGGTGGGATAACACCTCCCCAGGGGTGCCCTCGGGCATCAGGCAGTGTCTGGAGATCTGACCAGCAGAGATAGTTCTGGAGCCTGAAAACCCACAGGCCTCCCCAGCAGGGGTCACGGGGGGCTCCCTGCAGAGGAGCCCAAAGCAAGGTTGCTCTGGGCCTGCCAGCAGGCGCGTGAACTCACCAGGGAGAGCCTGCTGGGCACACCGCGTGGCACTAGGTCACGGCTAAGTCACGGCTTCTGTGCGCCAGATGGGCGGCTGCCGTCTATGGTGAAACCATAGGCTGCCGGCTGGGCTCTGCTGCATCGTGGCCAGCTCGGCGCAACCACACGCCAACCCTGCAGGGGTCGCCGAGGCTTGTCACGGGTCCTGTGGGCTGGAGAAAGAACTCTGCGACCCGCGCAAGTCTGACCTGGAGCCCACGCTTACTCCTAGCAGGTCCCTTGCATCTTGAATGCCTCACCTAGACGCTGGCTGAGCAACGGGCCCAGTGCACCACACAGGTCATCTCCTGCAGCCCTCGCTGTACAGAAGGGGGGCTGAGGCTCAGGAAGGTGAAGGGACTGGACCGGCAGGGCCAGGCCTCAAACCCCCCCAGCTTTAGGACCCCAGGGTCTGCAAGCTTGACTTCCGTGCCACAGCTGAGAACACACAGGAGATCTGCTGGCGCTTTCTTCTCTCTCTGTGCTCAGCTAAACTAGGCGTCTAGGCTGCGGGAACCGGAAAAGCTCACAACCTCGTGATTTAATAGAACAGAGTAGGTCAGACAGCCCCCTCCCTCCACCTGGTGGGTGCGCCCAGACACACGGACGGCCAGGTCAAAGGGGGTCAGGAAGGGGGAACAGGAAGCTCATGGACCATTGAAAGGCCAGGCCCTTCCAACCACACCACCCTAGCCAGACTCAGTAACATGCCAAAGACCCCATTCACCACAAGGAGTTCTGGGAAACAGCTTTCATGGGTCCTCAGGAAGAGGAAACAGTGAACACAACACTCTCCGCCTCATTATCCCACTTTTTTTTAAAATGTTTTATTTATTTCTGAGAGAGAGAGGCAGCGTGAGCAGGTGAGGATCAGAGAGAGATGGAGACACAGGATCTGAAGCAGGCTCCAGGCTCTGAGCTGTCAGCACAGAGCCCGACGCGGGGCTTGAACCCACGAATGTGAGATCATGACCTGAGCCGAAGTCGTACGCTTAACCGACGGAGCCACCCTGGCACCCCTCCTTATCCCACTTTTAATGCCCTCTCTTCTCCACAACTTCCCCTCCACCCCAGCCCATGGCCACTGACAGTTACGCACCTCCTTCCCTTCTGTGTTCCTTCTCACAAAACCTTGTTTTCCACAAGCTACCCATCAACCTCCCAGATGTATTAATAGATAACATTCTCAGGAGCTTCTTCTCCCGAGAGTATTTGCTTTTCAGTCAAGGGCTATTCAAGACTGAAAGGCCTTAAACATCCAAAGATATGAATATATAATGGTTGAAGTTAAGGCTCAATAACTGACAGTGTCAGAAATTTGAGGGATATCTCACCTACCCTATCCTGCCTCAAGCAAGCTTCAATCTGGAAGCATCTGAGCTCCTCTCCATTCCCTCCCTCTCTCTATCTCTTGTATTGCCTGGCAAGATGTTGGGCAATTGGCATTGGCTACAACTCACTCCCCATCAGGGAGAAAAGTGGAGGCTGATAAAAGGGTGATTGCCATTTAGCCAAAATAGTGGACCCAGAGCTCCCTATGCAAAGCTTCCCTTGCTGACCATCCTTCCCACCAACAGCCAAATTCCACTGTTCTTTTAGAAGCAAAGCATCAAGAATTAGCTTATTGAAGTCTGCAAGGAAGGGATTTGGGTGAGGGTCTGGCCCCCAGGCAGCCTCCTTTCTCTGCCCTTGGGAAGATCGACATGCTGTGATGAAGAGCTTCCTGACCTGATGTCCATCGAAGGCAGTAGACCCCTCTCCTAGGAGAGGGGTCTGCACCCACAGGTAGTCCCTGGGCCCAGCATTGGTGATGGTCATCGCAATGCCCAGGCCCATTGTCTTGTTGCCAGGGACCTGCTGATACTCAGGGGATCTGTCTCCTGCTTTTTCACTTCTCCTGTGGGTCTCCATTTCTGTCTGAGACATCTGAGCCTACTGCGCTTTTTGTCCCCGAAGCCCTGCATCCCATCACGTGCCTAAACAGATACACACGTGTACACACGCAAACGTAGACTTGTACCCGGCTGTGGCAGACGTGCACATAGATACACACTCACAAACATATGGGTCGAGGACGCACAGGTGCACACATATACAGACACACACAGATTCAGGCATGTGAGGGTGCAAAGCTCTACAGATACACACAGACATCCAGCCATAGCCATAAATATCCAGAGATGTTTAAAATATACACACGCTGCACAAATATACACCAACTCATACAGATGTATGCATATTCACCCTATAGATTCACGTATACACAGATAAACACAGATATACAAAGACAGGCTTGTGTACGCACCAAGATATGTATACATACATGTACCTGTGCACTTCCAAAAATATGTGTACATTCTCCCCGCACCCCATGTAGAGCTCTACCCCAAGAAGCACATAAGTGTATCTCTTTCTATCTCTCTGCCTCAATCTCTCTTCCCGTCTCTCTCCTTTCTCTCCTTCTCTCCCTCTCTCTCTCTGTGTCTCTCTCTCCACCCCGCTCCTCCAACAACCCTGGGCTCTCTGCCCTCTTAATACCCAGTCCCAGGTCCAGCTTCCTGCTTATCAACCTCAGATCCTTTCTGGAGCCTGCCATCGTGCCTGGAGAGGCAACACTTCTCTCCAGGTGTCCCCAGGGGCTAAGAAAGTGAGGTGAGAGAAGGCAGCTGGGTGTAATCAGGACAGGAGCCTCAGTGCCACCAGATGCTGTACCATTTCCCCCCAAAGCCCTCCTGGTGAGAGGCACCTCCCTCCTAAGAATGCGTTCCCTCTATGAAGATAAGCTGGGAATGGAGGAGAGAGAGAAGGAATGGGGGGCACACCTAGGAGTTGGGGACTTCGAACTCACACTCAGGTGGCTGGGAGAATAGAAACTAGGGGCCAGTACCTAATGCCAGGAAGGCCCAGGTCTAGAAGAGCAAGCTGCCTATGTGAGACTCCCTCCCTCTCACGTGGTTACCCCAGGTGGACGCTCACCACACCCAGGTACACCCCCGTTCTTCACTGGGCGGCATCGCCTCCACACTGGAAAGCCGCCCCACTCCCACTCCCCGCTGCACTCCATACTAGACCCAGACAAAGCGGGAGGGCCCGCACCCCCAGTGAGGCCAACCCCCAGTGCCTGCGAGAGCAGGTGGAATCTGCTGGGGCCAGGCAGAAAAAGGTGGTGGGGAGTCACCCCGTCGTGGCTCCACTCCTCGGCCCTCCCACCCCCACCGCCACCCCCACCGGCGCCCAGCTGCGCTGGCTGAGCTCCCCCTGGCCGCCCCGCGCCCCCCCCAGAGCCCTCCAGCGTGGGCAATAAGGAGACAGAGTCAGGAAGTGCTGTGGGAAGTCTGGGTTTATGGCCTAAAGAGGCTGGGGTACAGAGCCGTCCAGGGGGTGCAAAGGCTGGGGGCTCCGAGGCTGGGGCTCCGCGGCGCCATGGGCTTAGAAGGAGCAGACAAAGGGCAGACGCCTTTGGCAGGAAGTCCGCTGCCATTGTCCACCTAGCAGTGGAGAGCACAGTGATGTCAGCTGCGGCCGCTGCAGCAGGTGGCCCTAGTCCCCTCCTCAGGCGCCTCATACGGATCCGGATCCAGGCTCCGACCATGGTTATGATCTGTCCACTGTGTTTCCCCCCTCGTCCCTACCAGCTAAAGCTTATCATTTTCCCCGGGGGGGGGGGGGGCAGGGAGTGTGCCGCTGAGTGCCTTACGTGGGCGATCCCATTTAATCTTCACAGTGACTCCAGTAGGTAGGTGTTACCATCATCCCCATTTCACAGATGGGGAAACTGAGGCTTAGTGGGGGTAATGCATTGCCTGGAGCTCAGCTTGGAAGTGGCAGAGCGGATGCGGGTGGCTACTGCCTCGCTCCAGCACATATGGTCTCAGCCACGGTGCTAGCTCCCTCACATCTGGCATCCGTGCTGTTCGAAGCTGGCGAATTATCTGTCAGCCAGCCCTAATTCCCACATCTTTCCTTGGCCCCTCATCCATACCTCACCTTCACATCTGCTACTCTCATTTGTCACATCAGTCACTCCTCCTATCAGAGCAGGGAAAGCAGTCCCCAGGCCCCGAGCCTAGCTCTGTCAGTGAGGACGGAAAGCCTCCATCTAGCTCCCATACAGGGCACCCCATGGCCTGGTTTTGCTCTGAGGAACCCCTACATTTCAGCCCTCCTCACAGAGGACACATTCTCCAACTGGGGGAAGGTGTGAGTTTGGGGAGGCAGGTTGAAGTAACTCAAAGGGACAGTATGTAAGAGTCTACCTGTCCACCCCTTCCCCTTGACATGGTCCCAGGCCACCTCACCTGTGGTGCATAGGGAGACACAGTCACCGCTCCCTTGCGCAGGCTGCCCTGCGGCCCAGTATCCAAAATTCCAGCTGCTCCCATCAGTCCAGCGAAAGTTCCCGCTTGTGAACTAAAGAAGTGATAGTCTGGGTCAGAGTACAGAGGTCCAGAGAGACAGATCTGGGGGCTCCAGAAAATGCTCTCTGAGTATTCCTTTCTCCTCTCACTGCCCACCCAGCCAGCAGCCAGATACCCTAGAGACCCATCCTTGAGGGTTTGCAGGCAATGACAATGCAAGAGCAACCAGGACCCCCAACCATCACACAGAGCAGGCTTGTCACACTTTACTGTGCGTACGAATCTCCTGGGAATCTTGTTAAAACGCAAATTCTGACTCAGAGGGTCTCGGGTGGGGGTGGGGACCAAGGCTGGACCTTTCTAACAAGCTCCCTGGTATGCTGACACTGATGGTCCACAGACCACACTTGAGCAGCAAACATAATGGCACTTATTCATCCACAATCCCAGACCCACGTTGAGAAAAGAAGGACCCCATTCTAGAGATAAGGAAACTGAGGCCCCGAGGAAGTCACTCAGCTAGTAAGTGACAAAGCTGAGAGTGGAGCCTATCTCCTGACTCCAGTGATGTGCTGGTAAATGTTCAACAGCGGGCTCTGGGGGAAGGTGAGAACACGGGGGGAGGGAGGAACCCTGCTTTACAACAACTGCCAAGTTCCTTGGTGTGTATATGTCCACTGGGACAGATTTTGAGCTCAGGCACGCAGTCCCTGAGCATGGAGCTAAGACCAGATGACCACCATCATTGCTTCTCACGTCACTGCCTGCTGCTTGAAGGTCATCTCAGCTGCTGAGGTGAGGCTGGACGCCAGCAGGGGCTCCTTCGAGGTGATCAGAAAGAAGTTCCTGCCCATCCCCCAGGAGTTAGGCGCCCCACTTACCCAGCCCTGATAGATGCCTCCAATCCAGACTTCGTCTTCACTGTACCCTCTGGCTGAGGACAGGATGCGATAATCTAAGTTGTAGTTGTGTATGGAGACGAGGTTGCCTTGGTAGCACCTATTGCAGATACTCTGCGGAAAGAAGAAAACTTAGGGTAGAGAATTCACTAGTTTTTCTCAAGTCTTTGAGTCTCCAGGAGAGAGCCTCTCATCCTTTTTCAGGGCAGAAATCGGAGACCTATCTGCCGCTCTTAATCCCATCTTTTGCTCCTTTCTGTGTTGTCAGGACCTTTTTGCAACAACTAATAATGTTCAGAATAATCATAGCTACCATTTGTGGAGAGCTTTAGTGACCCAAGAATTATTCCACACACTTCCCATATATTATCTCATTTAATCCCCACCACAACCCCACAATGGGCTGGTACTGTTTACCTGCATTTTATAAATGAAGGTTCTGAAATTCCAAAAGGTAGAGTGGCTTGCCCAGTAACACAGCCAATGAGAGGCAGAGCCAGACTTGAATACAGGTGTATCTAACACCAAAGCCTTCCGTCCAGGTCAGTGGTTCTCAAAGTGCAGTCCCCAGACCAACAATACCATCATTACCTGGGAATTTGTTATAAATGCAAACTCTGAAGCCCCATCCCAGACTTGATAACCCAGAAATGTGTTTTAACAAGACCTCTAGGGGAGTCTGATGCACACTAGGCTTTGAGAATCACTGATCTAAAAGGGGACAGAAGGTTGGATCAAGTCTTTTCTCCCCCCATCCCCACCCCAGTCCTCCACAGTAGCCTCCCTGCCACTTACCTGAGCACATTGAAATTGCTCGGCCTGCCGTACCATCAGGAAGTTGCATGTCTTGTACCCAGGACTGCTTGGAATTGGAATTATGTCCTCTTCCTTTGGGCATCGAAAATCCTTGTCTGGAGTAACCAGGTTCGAATCCATGGCCTCTTCATGCTCAGATGTGACCTGAGAGCCGGAAGGCTTGGCCTTTTCTCCCTCTGACTGAATCACGTCATCAGTGAGAGCCAGGTCTCCTCCCTGCTCCCCTGAACTTTCCAGACTCTGACTCAGGTCTACTTGTGTCTCTCGGCTGTCCAGACTGTGGGCATAATTCTCTGGGAAGGAGAAGTAACCTGTTATCAGCTTTGGGGTCTCCCTTCTTCCAGGACCATGGACAACTCCAAAGGCCCCATTTGAGACTTCCTAGAGCCATCTGGAGCCAATCTCTCCTTGGTGTTGGATGAGGAGAGAACTTTTGAGTCATAGGCACAAATAGATGAGATCCCAACTTCTGGCTGGCACCCAGGTGTGTATTGTGGGGGTGGCTAGAGGCACCTGTTGAGAAGCCCTTCATCTTCACAGGTGGGTATGTTTTAAGTCGAGAAGACATTCAGAGATGGGCTGGGTCAACTAGAGAAGGGTGGCTGTGGTCTTGCCCCCATGAGACCAAAAAAAAGTCCAGGAAAGAGTAGAAAAGAGAAAGGTTGGTGAGACAAGAAGGAGAGGCTTACCCAGATGGAAAGCAGCAACTGTCCCCAGCAGGAGAAGGAGCAGAAGCAGCGGGCCTTTCATATCCACTCGGGCTTGGGACAGGGACACAGCACCAACTCCCTTCCTTGTGGGTATCCTGTGTGTCTGCACAGCTCCTGGCACATCGCAGAGACAAAATGCTTGTTTAACTGACTGATTAAGGGACAAACTAGAGCACTCCTTCCCTCCCTCCAACCCCTGGGGAACAGACCCTAAGTTGGAGAATTAGGAAAAGAGCATGGGGTGTCAGCTCAAGTGCACAAGTCACTTTTTCCTGAAAGCACCATACCCACGTCCCTAGAATGGCCCTTAGCTCAGACCCTTGCCTCTGCAGTAACAAGGCTGCTCACAGGGGAGAGGACGGTGACCATGATAGGCCTGAGGACAGGCTTCCGAGGTGCAGGCCATATCCGGTCAAGTACTCACCTCCAGGAGTCTGAGGCCTCCACTCTCAGTGCTCCGAGCTGCTGGATCCCAGAGGCAGCTCTTATACTGGGCGTCTGGGGAAGTGGGAAGAGGCCAGGATGATTGCTTCAGGCTGGGGTGGGGGGCAGTGGAGCTGATAAGACTGTTAGGTCTTGCTCAGTCCTCTCACCCTTGAGAGCCCTGCTGCTTGCTGGGACTCCAGAGACCTATTTTTTGGGCACCCAGATGCCCCGGTATGTTCCAAAAGACCCCAGCTGACTACTGTCCAGGCATTATTACTGCCCGAACGTGCCCCAGTCTGAACAATACCCCTTACCCCCAGGAGCAGGCTTCCATGAGTGAATATCTCAGCTAACGACACAGAGAATCCCAGGAAGCTGAGAGAGCACGTAGGGAGGAGGCAGTTGGCCAAGGGAGCCTCCGTCCTCCTGAGCACTTATCTCGACAGGTACTTTAAATTCATCACCTCCGTGAATCCTCACCTTCACGTTCTGTATGGTTACCCTTACTTCACCGATGTGAAAAATGAGATTCAGAGAGAGAGAGACGAACTTGTCAAGGTTTCACAGGTAGCAGGAGAACTGGGATTTGTAAGTCTTTTTGGCTCAAAACCCTTCTCTGTTTCTCTCTGTCTCTCCATCTCTGTCTCTCTGTCTCTGTCTTTGTCTTTTTCTGTCTCTGTCTCTCTCCTTCACTTTCTTCCTTTCTCTCCCCCTCTTTCTCTCTCTCTCTTTCCATCTTTAATGTGTGAAAATTTTATGTTCATTCTTTTATGCTCTGGATCTAGATCAAGGTTCTCAACCTTTGCACTATTACTATATGGAGCCAAACCTTTGGGGGCAGCGGGGGGGGGGGGGGTGGCTGTCCATGCTTTGTAGTAAGTTTAACAGCATCCCTGGCTTCTACCTACTAGATGTCAGTAGCACCTTCCCTAGTCATGATGATAAAAAAAAGATCCCCCCACATTCCCAGGTGTCCCCTGGGGAGCTAACTTGCCCCAGTTGATGCTCATTGATCTAGAACATGCCATGTTGTCTAATCTCAAAGCTCATCTTACAGCAAGGAGGCAGCAGTTGGAATGGAAAGCTTCACGCAGAGTCATTCAGACACTCGGGGCCACCTTCCCCCCACCCTTACTCCCCATCTCCTACCAGCTCTCTATCACCACTAGGGTCTGGACTAGGGGAAGTGAACAAGGCACTTGCCTCAGATGTGGAATTTAAGAGGGCACTAAAGAATTCAGTAGCCAAGAGAAACAATATTTTAATAGAATCTTTCTTAAACATCAAAATAAATACAAAAACAATCCATGATGAACAAAATATCAAAATTTTAATCAATCAAGCTCTAGCCAAACTCAGTGCAACACAGGGAAAGGCCAGCAAGTGCTGAGCCCTGACCTAGCTGGATATCACTGCCAAGAGCTAGAAGACCTGTCAGGGCAGGTGTCTCAACTCTGCGAATCCTAGCTGGGCAGTGCATATTTGTTTCTTGGATTACATCCCAGCCTTCCAGTACTCAAAGCACTAGGGACAGGGAGCCCAGAAGGGGAAGAGACCTGGGTCCTTCTCCTCTGCTCTCTCAAGGCACCTACAAATGGAGAAGTATCTGAAAGCTCATTTCTGCACCCAATTGCAGAGTAACGTTCTTGACCATTATCTCCCCGGCCCAATGGACTTGGCTCTCAGCTTCTCTTCCTGACTTGGAGGCTGGGGGATGGACCAATTCTAGGCCCCCAAAACCTGGTCTCCAGATTTTGAGCTTGGGGCCTCCCTAGTGGGAAGGCTAGACCTCCTCTCCATTTTTCTTGTTCCTCCTAGGGACCAGGCCAAGGATATCATTTCATTTGTCTTTGGGATGACCAATAAAATCAGCTAGTCCCATGAGCCAGCACCATGATAAGCTTTATATGTGTCATTTCATTTGAACATCCATTTCTTAGATGAGGAAATGGCATTTCAGAGAGCTTAAGACACAGCAAGTCAGAGACAAGCCTAAACCCAGGCCTTCCAGCCTCTTAGCCACCCCCAAGCTGCCTTCCTTCTGCCTCCTCTCACTGACCTCCCTTCTCTACAACTTACCCCTCTCCCTGTTGACCCTGTTTTCTTTGCACACAAAGCCTGGGCAAAGACATTCCATTGACTTCAACAACCTCCTCACTGACCACAATGAAACTTGTCTGATTTAAAACTGGAAATAATATTTTTGAAGGTCCACCATGGGCCAAAGACTATGTTTCCTTAAGGCTTTTATATCTATGGTCCTACTTAATTACTTTTTATGATCATCCTGCAAATTAGGTATTGCCATCCCTAATCTACGTATCTACTGCACGAGCTCCGAGAGGTTAAATGACTCACCCAAGTTCACACAATGGTGAAGAAGTGGCATGTGTGACCCTTGTCTGTCTGACTCCCACATCCTGACTTTCTTGGATATGCCCACCTGTGTTATCCCCAGACAGTCTGGCCAACGTGTTCAGCATCCATGAGACTGCAACGCTCTGGCTTGCTGTTTGCATTTATATTCATAGGGGTTTCAAACTCTGCCTCTTGTCTCAAGATTCAGCCCAACTCCACACTGCACAGACAGTGGGTCTCTCTATCCTGAGGGGCAGTGTAGTGGGACGTGTCATGGAGTCATGAGTTAACGTCAGCCCCTCTGTGGCTCTGTCTTCTCATCCATAAGTGGAGGCTCATGACAGGAGCCTACATCTAATGAGACCAGCTCTAGTAAAGCTCCCAGAATAGTGCCTGACACATGGGGTTTGGAGATGGCCTTTGTCAGGAAACCAGGACTAGAAATGTGACCCTAATCAATAAATAAGCACTGAATGTTGATTGAGCTCCTGCTCTGTGCTTTGCACAGTGTAAGGAACTCCAGGAATTCTGTTGTAAAGATGCAAGTTAGCTTCACAGAACTTAGTGAACGTCCTGTAGGAGATGGAAAATGACACACAAACCCATATTTGGGGAGGTAAGTCCTCTTATTTCATTAATTTTGCTTTTTAAAAAATGTTTCTTGTGGACATATAGCATGCATCCTGTGAAGCGTACTGCAGGGTGGACAGCCTAGGGGACTTTTACAGTGAATGCACCCACAGAACCATGCCCAGATCAAGACACAGAATGTTACCAGGTACCCAAATGCCTCCTTCGTGGCTCCCTCTTGACATTAATCCCCCACAGAGGATCAACATGGGCTGGAGGGCTCACTTCTGCCGTAACACACAGTTCCAACAGATTTATGAGGAATAAGACAAAGTCCACTTACCACTTAGCATTGAGCCTGGTACCTAGTAAATGCTTAATAAGTGGGAAATATTGTTGCTGTTTATTATTCACATTGGAATAAAGGGAAGCCGTGCCTTCTGACAGCAGAATATAGTCTGTGAGGACAAAAAGTGAAAGTTCTTCTTCAATGGCATCCTCCCGAGCACCCACCCCATGGCTGAACCCACAGTAGTGTTCCAGAATCTTTGAATTCAGCAGACTGTCATAGAACAGCAGCTACAATGGACCTCACTTTGATTTCTATCTTTCTCAACTAACTGTGCGACCTTGAGCAAGAGGCTTCCCCAAGCTGGGCCACACTCAAAAAATTAAAGCTCTTGATTCACCTCTAAGACTCTGGAGCCATCTGTAATTCTGTGTGTTTGAGGAGTCCAGAAAGAAAAGGCTTCAGGGCATTGACTCCTTACTTTCTCTTCACCTCCTTGGTGGAGCGAGGAATTGTAGTGCCTTCCTTCCGCATCTCTAATTGAGATCCCCTCCTGTCCAACTGGGCTGGAGTTCTATGGCCTCAAGATGAACCCAAGAGTAAGGGAGCATCTCCTGCCTCTCCATAGTGCTCCATCCCTATATGACCATGTCCTGGAAGCAGCCACAGGATCCTAAGGGTTGAATGGACATGCTGCAGAGCAGACAGCTGAGTCACAACATTGGTCACATTGAGATGGTCTGCCTTGGGCAAGTCTTTGATAGGGCCATAACTTCTCTGAGCCTGGTTTTGCAAAATGGGGTGATAATTACTGATCACGCAAGGTCATCTTTGTAAGGTGCTTGCCACAGCAAGGGGTACATTGTGGGCGTGCAACAAGCAGCAACAATTAGTAGATGTTGTCGTGCTTCTATTATAAACAACCGTATGTCCCAGAATGGGAGGAGGCTGTGTCTTGTATTCCCAGGCCTTATATAGAGTTGGACGTATAGCATGTTGTCTTGTATTGGGTCCCCCTCCCAGAAACGGGCCCTGAGACAGGATCTGAGTGCACGTAGCTTATTTGGGGGGTGCAAGGACAGTTGTAGGGAAGAAAGAATTCAGACGGGCAAGAGGAGGCAGTCAATAACATGCGTGCTACAAAGCCAGCAGCCTCAGTGGATAACTGGAAGTTAATCTCATTGGAAAACCCTGGGAAACAGTGCCCAGTACATGCCTTAGAATTAGTCCACTTGAAGGGCAAGGGATGAGGACACTCATACTTCCACTCCTATGGGTTACAGATTATTCCCAGGGACGTGTTAATTTCCCGGCACATTGGGGCACCTGGGTGGCTCAGTCAGCAGGTGCCTCAGTCAGTTAAGTGTCTGACTTCAGCTCAGGTCATGATCAGTTCGTGGTTTGAGCCCCGCGTTGGGCTCTGTGCTGACAGCTGAGCCTGGAGCCTGTTTCAGATTCTGTGTCTCCCTCTCTCTCTCTGACCCTTCCCTGCTCACGCTGTCTCTCTCTCTCAAAAATAAATAAAACACTTTTAAAAATTTCCCAGCACATTAAGGCAACCACACTCTTGGGCATGATGGGGATGCAGTCACAGGACATAGAGAGTCCACCTGGAATGGTTGAACAGACAGGGGGTCCTGATGGCACCTGCTTTCCCGGGCCCAGTAGTTGGGTGTTGTGTGAAAAGAGCTGCCAGAACCCATTCTTCTGTCTCCAGGGAGACTCCGCAGACCCCAGCCCATGCTCCAGTCTCCCTGAAAGTGATCACTTCTGGTTTCTTTTATGAGAGACAGTGGAGTGGGGAGGGGCAGTCATTGTAGGGCAGAAAGTTCC